ATGATGATGATGATGATGATGATGATGATGATGATGATGATGTACCATCAAGTCAATTATGACTTATGGTGACTCTTTTCAGGGTTTTCCAGATAAAGAGTCCTCAGAAATAGTTTACCATTTGTATTTATTTATGATTTATTTATTAGATTTATATACAGTACTGCCCATCTAGAACGTGTCTACTCTGAGTGGTTTACATGTATCATAAAAATAAATTAAAATAAAACCACAGAGTCCCAGATGGGAAAAGAAGAAAAGAAGAAAAAAAGAAAGAGAGAGAGAGAAAAAAAAGAAAAGGAGAGATAGACTAGGTAATGATTGTAGGGAAGGCCTGCTTGTATAGCCATGTCTACAAGTTAGTCTTGAAGACCCTCAGCGAGGGAGCCCGGCAGATCTCTACAGGTAGGTTGTTCCAGAGATGAGGGGCCACTGCTGAGAAGCAAAAGCATCTTCCTGACACATCCGGGCCCCTCTGCTGAAGCGGGCAGCGGCCCCCAAAAGGTCTCTGCCGCCCTCGACGAGGGCTTCCTTCGGGGGCCACAGGTCTCTGCGCTGCTCCAGCAAAGGCGCGGGCGGGCGGGCGGGCAGGCGGGAGACCCTCCGCCGAGCACCCGAGCCGCTTTTCTTAAAAGGACCAGAGGGAGGGAAGCAGGGAAAGGAGCCGGCGGGACGGAGGAGGAGCAGGGGAGGGAGCCCCGGGAGGCCGCCGGCCTGACTCAGAGGAAAGGCCCCGGGCGCCCCCCCCACACCTCGGTCGGGCAGGAGGGCGCCCGCGGGAACGCTGGCTCACCGGCTGAGGTGATCATGGCGCCGGTGTCGCGGGGGCCCGCCGGCCGGGCGATGATGCGGAGACGGAGAAACGGGCGGTCGAAGAAGGGAAGCCTTCAGAGAGCAGGAGCCACTCCAGGGACGGCGCCGTGACCAAGCGCCTCGGCCGTTTCCGCCCCGTCCTGAAGAGACCCCGGAAGTGACGCGCGGAAAGCCGCGCCCGCGACGGGGCGGGCTCAGGACCCCTTCTCCGTGGCAACCAGGCAGGCGCCGGCGGTTCCAAGGGGAGGGGATGCTGTCTATCCCAGTTGCCTGACTGGAAAACGGGGAGAGCGGATATAAAAATAATAAAAATAAAATAACACATTGTTTCAAAAAAGGACACAACCGTGGTGGCACCTAGATTCTTTCCTCTGCCCTTGGGGGTCATTCATTGCCCAGAGTAATTCACACACCATTGCAATACGTGACCAAACCTGCTAGAAAAGAAAGCTTATTAGCAACTGTCGAAAGCCCGTTTAATTAACACTCATGCCATTCCACCATGGTTATTTTATGACACCCTTTTCAGCACAAGCTTCAGTGGCACCTTCCTGCCCAGGTTAAACTCCCACTGACGTTCTTACCAAACAACCAAGATCTCTGTGTTTTGATTTCTGTATTTGAGGCCAAGTATATACAGTATATGTAAATATTTGCCACGTTATATTTCCTTCTCCTGTGTCTGAGGCAGTGGACTTTTCCACAAAAACTGACATGAAAATATAACAGTTTTTGAGGTGGCATAGTCTCTCGAGACTGAAGGATGCCTAATCAGCCTATGGCAACCCCCACTTCTCATTTAATTCCTCGAAGGGGGAAAAAAGGTTCCCCTATACTTCCTCCAGCACTGATCAGGAAGACTTTTCAAAAAGTCCTCTTGATTTCTTGCTGGAGGAGGTTTAAGGGGGAGGAGGAAACAAATGAAGAGCATTCCTCAGAGAGTGGAGAAGAAACGGGCAGGGGTGATGCTCAGGAGGACATAAAGGATGCTGACAACCTGGAGATGGACAAAGAGGACCCGGAGAAGTGGTGGGACTATTTAATAAAGGAACATCCCTGTCAAGGGGTTCAGCTAAAAGTCCCCAAGGGAGAGGGAGAGAAACACTGCAATCCTAGACCACCCCTTTGCTTATTCTACTGGGCAGAACGCTGCGACTGATCTAGCCGGAGGCACCAAACCAGGACGGGGCCAGGGGAGCCAAACCTCCACCCCACCCTGCCAAGAGGCTAGTGGAGGAGCCAGCAAAGACAGTGCCAACACAGTAGCAGCAGAGGCAGCACAAGATGAGAGCTGCACCCTGCTGTCCCCGTCTGGACCCCACCGGCCTTGCTCTCATCGTGGGGACACCAGCCTTCCCTTCTCTGGTCCACACCCTTTGGGTGAACACTCACATCTCAGGGTCTTTTAACTTGGGAAGCACGACAAAAGACGACTGAGCCAGGGTTAAGGCAGTTAACTAGCCCTGGAGCGGTTTACAAGTAAGAATCAATGGTTGTTGGCTTGTTTGTCCTTCCGTTTTTGAGCCCACTGGTGTTGACTCTGTGGGTCAGGGAACGGAGGAAAAATCATCCATCAACCCAGTCCGGATGACCAGGAGTTTTACTGTCTGCCCTCTGCCCTGATATCTTCTTTATTTAATAAATTTTTCGGGCAATACACCACTTAATGTTACTTTCGTTTATCCTGCCAGTCCCTGAAAAATGGGAATGCTAAGCTAGCTGCATCCGTCTGTTTTTTAAGCCTCCCAATGTCTGTGCCCCAGAATTGATATATATCCCTGGAGTAAAGAGTAAACAGTTCTCTTCTAAATAGGCCCTCAACATTTTCAGGTAACAGAATGTGTTTATTAGCTAGGAATAAGGGGAATATTCTGTTTTATGCAAGAGGAATAAAGAGGAATGTATTGTGTTTTATGCAAATTGGTACCTCTTCTTTTGCTGACAGGTGTCGCTGGCCACCCACCAATGGCAGCTCTGAGGGAAACGCGTGAGCTCACAATGGGAAGCATCTTGATGCTCAGGCAGCTTCCCGGATGCCCCCAGCAGGCCTCAGGCATGATGGGGATGTGGCAGCTTTCCCTGGCCGTCTTCACCCTAGCCTCGGCCTTGAGCTTACAAGGGCCATATCCGATATGTCCCAGGAAGGAATCGGCGCACATCCAGTTCTCGACAGTGCTCTGTGGCCTCTGTGCCATATGCATGTTGGTGCTAGCTTTATGCGTCCTCCGGCACCAATATGTCCAACAGCCAGGTCCTCAGGTTATTTATTTATTTATTTGATTTATATCCCCCCCCATCTGGTCTGCTTGACCACTCTGGGCGGCTTCCAATAAAAGTATATAGTATTCAATTGTAGTAAGCCAATTCAAATGCAAATTAAGAGAATACAATAATTTCATAAACAATGTAATCCTTTGCATATCTAATCAGAAGCTTACTGATTTCAATAAAGCTTACTCCCAAATAAGTGATTATACTGGATCATTGTCTCAGACAACTAATTTTCAGAAAGAAAAGTAATTTTCATGTTTTAATTTTAATTCTATAATTCCACATTATTATGAATGCATCTGAATGAAAATACACTCGTCACCAAAACAGAACAGAAATGAAAGGGGGGGGAGCATGTCTCAATCTGCAGCTCTGCCACTTAAAACATTTCTTTATTGATTAAAACTGTCCCTCTTCAATTAATCAGCTAGTTAAATATAATAGTCAATGCCAACTAAGAGCAGATCCACTGAATCAATGGGAGTTACATACCAATGTCCCTTTGATTAAATGGGAACTATTTTAATACGGATTGGAAATCAAGAATTCATCCCCAAATTTTACCAGCGAATCTACTAAGTTATGCTGTGTTTGCATGCATGAACAAAAAATTTATGGTACGTCAGCTCATTTCATGGCCAGTTTTACTCATGAGTTTATTCTGTCCTGGTTAAAAGTTTATGCCAGGCCACAACTGATAATATTCACTATTGTGGACAGATTGTTTTTTGTTTGTTTTTTTTGCTACACAAAACCAGCAATATTTCTGGAAGTCAACAAACACTTGCAACACTCTTGATTAAGGATGTATTTTAAAATATACTTTATTTATTTGATACACAAAATATTGCCTGTTATTAAAAGCAGAGGGTGATCTGAACAAGCATTGAGTTTTGATCTTTTATTTCTCACAGCTAATCACAGAATGCCCCCATAAAATCATCTACTCCTTTGACCTGATCAGAACCTACTCACAATCCACCAGCAGCTGTACAGCAAAGTTAACACAATTTGTTGGTGGTGTGGAAGGGATGCATCCGAACATTATATATATCTCTCCAAGAGGGAGCCACCACTGCATCGGCTGTCCTCCTGGTCATAACCTCTTGAACGTCATGACAGAGGAATCCAGAGCAAGGCCTTCCGTGCTGAAGGGAACAGATCAGAGATGGCGGTTCTTAAGGTATGCAAGCCTCAAGCCATTTAGGGCTATAAACTCATCTCCTTGAAGGGATTCAGAATGGTAGGCAGTGCAAATCAAATACATAAATGCATTTTCTGTATCTTGTGCAGAGCATTGAAAAGTTGGTTTTTTTTTTTTAAAGAATGAGGGTTCCTAAGAGAAGTCATATAAAAAAGTAACATTTCCCACTTCTGACCTCTTCCCAATGAACTGGACAGTTGAACATGAATGTTTCTTAAGGGAAAGCCTGCCTACAGTGTGCAATCTGCACTCGAGGTCACTAAAACATGAATGACAGTGGCAAACTCCAGTTTCATCATCTATATTGGTTCGTGCTAGCTTGATCAATCTACCAATTTATCCCGTGAAGAATTTGTTAAAAAATCCACATTAAATAGATCCTGGGCTGGTGTCATATGACTCACCTTTTCAGTCCGTTCAGATTTCTGAAGCAGGAACTGCCAGGTGGAAACGAAATCATAAGTCTCAAGAAGGTAGAGTTTAAATAATGGCTTTTTTAATTGTTGTAATTAAGTTTAAAATGTTCCGAATGATTTTTCTCAACAGGAGAAGCCAGTGGTCTTTTTTTCCCTACTTTGATGCCAGCCAAACAACCCCCCTGGACAGATAACCGTGCATATTCTGTGCAGCGTCACCGCAAATGTGGAAGCGCAGAGGCCGATGGCGATAGTCCTCCCAGAAAGGAGGTGTCAGGGTTGATCTAGATCTGCAAATGAGCTCTAGCAGCTTTTGTTTCCTTCAGGAGCATGTCTTTTGCAAAGTTAATGGCACTTGGTTTCCCATCAAAGACCAAGCCACCCTCAAATGCATTGCATCACAACAAGGACAGCTCGGATCAACACCCTGTTCTTGGGAAAATCCATTTATCCCAAGCTACCATCAGGCCTGCAGTGAAGTTCAGAGAAGCCTTTGGGGGGGGGGCATAAGATTAAGTGAAGTCATGGTCCATGTTCATTGGGAGGTCAGTGAGCTTTGATCCTGTGTTCTTTGGCTACATCGCTTCCTACACGGCGGAACATGCAGGAAAATGACCTGTTTTGCTGCCACCGCAACATTTTCAATTCAACAACCAGCAAAACTCTGCAGACACTGTATTTTCTGCCAGGATTTCTACGCCTCTTTGCTTTGCAATTTTTTTTGTGGTCCAGAGAGTTGGTGTCACAACCAATGAGCTTCCAAAAGACAGCCAAAAATTATTATTATTTCCCAGCAAACGGCTGTTCCTCTGGAAAATACAGGGAATTGGCCGAGATGGCTTGATGCCCTTTTGGGTGTGGGACGAGATGGCAGCTTTTTTACAAGGGTCACTTTTTCTCTGCTGTTAAGACTCTTCCACCGTTGACACCTGTAGAAATCTAAAAGGCACATTTTTCCCCCAGCATGAAAGTGCAGAGGGAAACTTCACCTGTGGTTTGTTCTGCCAAAGGCCCCTGTACAAGGCAGAAATGCCCAGTCCTTGGAAAGGGAAGACATCAAAATTCTTTCTGTCACATCGTGGCCTCCACCAGTATCCGGCTGCTCACAAATGAGCAGCACCACAGCCTGTTCTGTGTGCGATTCCTCCTTCCCTCATCCAGTTACGCAGCGGGAAAGCCAGCAACCCCATTTGAAACAGAGGGACTGCTTCCAACTTGCATAACTACAAACTGGGATCAAGCAGGTTACTCCGCCGGCAGAGTCATTCCCCTCCCCAACGAAGAACAGAATA